TTGTTGAGAAGTGATAGTAGTGGCTCCACTAGGGGAAGAAAGTACCCCACTGCCCTAGATGGGGAAGTTGTATTACTGTATTGTTTTATTACTGTACTTCACTCTGTTCTTCCTTTCCTGTTTACCCATCTACCTTTTTGACCACTGCTGCTCAGATCCATGGTCCCATCAGTTCTGTGCTTCATGCTGTTCCCTGTACTGCATCCGCATTGCTCTGCGGGAAACGGGGCTGTCTGTACCTCATAGGTTGAGACATGAGCCAGGGACTAAAATGCATGATGTAAACCAACAGAAAAAAAATGTAATGCTCTAGCATGTACTTTGCTACATGCTTAACAGTTGAAAGGGTACCTTGGCATGGTTTGGTGGGACTTTGGGTAATTGAGATGGCTTAAAAAAATAAATAAATCTGGTTTTGTTCTGTGAATACCAGTGCAGCTATCTTTGTAACACTTAACTGACGAGTTAATTTAACCATAGAGGGAACGTGAAGTTTAGCTTGCACATAGTTTCTGTCACTGAGCTTTAGATACTCTTGTTCGTGCCTTTGGTTTTAGGTAACAGATTTGTTAGGGCCTTAGCAAGCTTTAGGCTTAGAAAGTAGTAATAACGGCTGAAGGAGAGAGGAAGCATTAATGTACCAAACATTTAAGCTTGAGGTGTGTAAAGCGTAGATATTTTTCTGTCAAATGGAGCTGTTGGATTGTTGTTGAGAACCCTTCAACTCTGTCGGACTAGCTAGGAAAAGCAACTCACTTTCTTGATAATTTGTGAGTCTTTGAAGCTCATCCGTGCTGTTCATAAAGAATGAGACTGCTGTAGAGGGGCTGCAGGGAGATATAAAGATTCAGTGGTAGGAGAGAAGACAGCTTGTGCTAAATACATGCGGAATGTGGATGGTTGCTTTCCTGCATGGAATCACGGTGAGATAACTGGGGCGATCGGAAAAGAACGGAGCAAAAAGTTCTGTTTAAAGCCTAGGAGGATCTGACTGCTACTTGTGTTTCTTGAAGGATCCTCGGTAGAACCAGGGACTCTTACTTGTTCCCATAAACTCTTTCTGATTTCAACCTGTTTAGAATACATGTGTTTTGTTAGAAAAGAGCTATCTAGAGAGTTTTGGGCAGAGCCTGTTGTTCCTTGCTTGTATTTGAAAAGCCATGCTACAGCTGGTCGGAGCAGGAGATGATTACTATTGCTGTTGTCCTGCTGTTACCTCAATGTTTGTGGGTTTTTTTTTCCTCAAATATAAGCAAAAGAGGAGTGGAAGAACTTCTTACATGGCATACCTCGGTGGCAGCTGGGTGTTAGACTTTCAGATGATGCATGTATGTTTTTGTAGCTTAACAAAATGGATAGGCAACCAAAAATGGTGTGAATGTAACACTGAAAAGATTCAGATTATATTACACTAGATAGTGTTTTGAATATTTTCCAGCACTTCTAAATTTGCTGTAGCAATATTTCCTAAAATCCAGTTTGTGCTGATGTGGTCATCTGCTCAGCTGAATAATGATTTAAGTATAATTTAAATTTTATCTCTTACTAATAGTGTGGATAGTTTTCTAGTCGTAAAAAGGCCTTGTATCACAAGAATCTCTGTCCCCTTAGGGTGCTATGGTTGTTGATTATGTCTCTTACCCAGATCTCGGTCCTGTTACCTAACTGTAGACATCAGAGATGTACCTATCTAACCTAGTTCAGATTTAGGACTTTAATCAGTTTTGAAAGCTGGTGTAGGCATGGCTATTATAGACCTTGTGGCACTCTTAATGATGTGTTATCTGGATTTTCTGAACAAGTACCTTTTCTTTGGCTAGACTGCAGAAAGGAGGCCAAGCCCTGAAAACTCAAGTAGCAACTCTTTTTTTCATAGGCAGAGAAAACAAAAATCATTTTCAAACAAGAAATTCAGTGCTGCGTGTGAAACTTTTTGAAAATATTCAGGTCTTGCAGCTCCAGAGTTTAGATAAACCACACAGAACATAACTAGGATTTTGAGATTATGTGAGCTACTACTGTGCTCTAGCTTTGGGTCTAATTATTGAATTTGTGCTCTAAATTACGAAGTCATCACTGAGGAAGAAAAAATACATGTAAAACTTACTGATGCAAATCTGTCTGTAGAAAGGATTATTTTCAAATGTGTTGAAGATTAATGAAATAATCCTTCACACACTTTTGGTGTATGTGAGTTGTTACACTAGACTTTTTGTGCAATGAGTGAACATAGTAGGTAGGTATCTGCAGTGATCTGTTACATGTGTGCAGATTTTTGAGTGTGTGTGTCTAACTACAGGCATTTATTCATGAGGTTATTTGCTAGCTGTCCTAGAAATGAAGTTATAGTTGTCATTAGCACCTGATACGCAATATTTCAGTTTCTCAGAAGATTCCAGGTGAAATTTAGCTATTCATTACTGGCTGTTTCTGTTTCAAGTATGTGTGTGGAGGGAACCTGTATTTCCAGAACAGAAAAACAGTTCTTTGTGTAGAACATGGTTACATGACTAATACCTGCTTTCTGTACACCACTTAGTGCATTATTTGTGCAACTCTAACTGGATATGCTGCAGTTCATAGCTGTAGTAGCAAGCAAGGTAGAAGTTACCTCACTTTTCTTGAGTACAAGAAGGACTGTTTATTCCTCATGTCAGCAATAAATTTATTAAACAAAACAACAGAACTACTGTTTGAAAATCTAATCTCTCTGAAAGCTTTGGAGAGCACTAATATTTTGTACTCAGATTAGATTTGTTACTGAACAGACTTATTTATTTATTTTTTCTTTTTTAACTGGGTGTCTGCAAACCACTGCTTTAAAGCCACCATACTTATAACTATACAGCATATGGGTTTTTTGTTTTGTTTTTGTTAAGTAGATAAAGGGAAAAATACTCTTGTTTTTTGTTGGAGAAAATGAAGTTGTTTTAAGATTAATCTGGATTTTCTGGGTCAGTACACACTGTACCTAAACTTCTAACAGATGTGGCAGGGCACTAGGGTTTTGAAATAAGAAAAGTTAAAGAATTTCTATACTGCTATTTGAGCATTGGGATGTCCATGTAGGGTTTGTTTTTCCAATCAGGTTAGTATCAACCAGATTCCATCTTCTCTGAAGAGGCTTTAGTGATTAATCACTAAGTGATGGCATGGGAAAAGTTGTGCTGCCACTCATCACATCTGCATTTTTACAGATTAAATCTAATTATCCAATCAAATTAACTGCAAGGTTTTATGTCTATTGAGATGCAAATTAAAGGTGGCAACTTAAACTATAGTTAAAAGGCAATGTCATCTGGTTCTGTAATCAACTTACTAAGTAGCACACCTACTTCATGTGAAGGTTTTAAGGCCTTGGTAAATGTTTGAAGTGCTGGCAAATGAGAAGAACGTGTTTGTTCATTCCTTTGTGGTAGTATTGTTCTTTGGTCACTGCTCCTTGAGAAGGAAAAGAAAAAAGCTGCCAAATGCATAAATAATGGTAGTGAAGGAACACCTGAATACTTGCTAATCCTGTATTAATTTAAGTACGGTGTTTACACTGACAGGTGAAATTGTGATCCTTAATAAAGAGGCTGTACGAGGGTATTAGAAAACTAAGGCTGTGCCAAGAACTGCCTCCTTATAGAAAGCTGAAGTGTTTACTTTTGGTGAGGATTGCCGTGATAAGAAAACAGCTGGCTGATAACAGATTTGAAATATTTTTTTTTAATATGTAAAGTACTCTAGGCAGCTCTGTTCAAGTTCAGCCTGTGTAGTTGCACATCTGCAATACTTGCTGAAAATTGAGTTAAATCCATTGATGTCGCCAGTCATCTGTCCTTCTGTTCTTGGAATGACAGAGAATCATGTGCAAATTTTAGAAAGAGGGAAGTTAACTGTAGGGCTTGTGTCATAAAAAATGCTTATCAGTCATCTGTGAGGTTACAGAACTTAATCTTTTTTTGCAAATGTGAGTCCATGTTGTCCTAACTTTTTTCCAGGGTGTATATTTTATTCATATATATATATATATATACACACACACATGTATAAATATATATATGATACATGTGTAATTAGACTACTATGAAGTTATCTGACACTTATGAAGTCAAGCTATTCATCTCACTTGTAACAGAATCCTGTTTTGGGACTGTTAAAAGTAAATTCCTGTTAGTTTAACTACTTGGTGTTTTACAAACTGAATGTGAGGCAGGATGAGAGATTCAAGTTAGTATCTATAAACAACAGTTCTGTAAAAATGGACAGTACGTTTACGCATGCACTGGTGATTACAGCTAACTTGCTTTTATTTTTGGATCAATTTTCTAGTGCAGCTCCTACAAGACCTTTTCTCCAGGTTGCCTGATACTTCTACTTCAAGAAATTTGAAAATTCAGAAAGCAAACTTCTTTTCTCAGTTAGTCACCTCGGTTTTTCTGAAACAGTTACAAAGTGCTTTTAAATAGCTTTACACTAGAGTGTAAGGATGTCTGTTTAAAAGCCTGTTTGTATCTTCCCTTTGTGATGTCAGGGAGGAAGTATTTGTTTGACAGTGATTATTTGAAAGCTATGTCTTACTTGATTCAGTCATAACTTATGTTCTGGTACAAGTCATAACCTTGGCTAATTTCCTTTTAAATTGTACAGTGTTTTATGACACTGTAAGGAATAGTGTTTGAAACCAATCTGTCTCAGGCTGAATCCTGAGCCTTCATGCAGGTACAGAGTTTGATACATGGTTTAATACTTGAGTGATGAACCGTTAATGCCCACAGGAGAGAACAAAATTGAATAGGTCCTGTGAAGTTTGGCTTGCTTATTTTGGCACTGTATCAATCCCCTATTTACATGTTTTTCTAAAACTAAGAAATATCTTAAAATGTAGCTTTGTAAATATATACATTTTAACCCTTCCGTCTCAGAATGGTAAATTTACCCTTGGAGCTCTGTCAAATTGAAATGTCTTTGACTAATTATATCTGTGTTTTTTTTTCTTTCTTTTTCCCTTATAGGTATTGTGGTAAATGGCCTGATTAACATTAGTGTTTCAACAATTGAGAAGCGTTATGAATTGAACAGTTCCCTCACTGGCTTAATCTCTGCAAGCTATGACATTGCTTTTTGTGTATTGTCACTGTTTGTATCTTTTTTTGGAGAAAGAGGGCACAAACCGCGGTGGCTCGCTTTCTCAGCATTTATGCTAGGACTGGGCTCGCTTATATTTTCCTTACCACACTTTGGTAGTGGAAAATACTACTATGGAGCTAAAGTTGAAGGTAAGCTTATCTTTAAGTTTTGAAAATTATTTTAAAAAAGTAATCTCTTTAGTTACTCAATGCAACTCAATTTGATAGCACATAGTTAATCTCTGTAAAAGTCCTAAAAATAGGGTATTATCTCCAAGACTGAAAATAAAATGACTCTGTGAAATCTATAAGTTTAAGAGCTGTCTTTTTGAATGGTAAACCTTGTTTTTTAGAAAAGATCTGAGTGTCAATATCAGTGTGTGGTCATAAGCAATACTTGATTAAAATGCTTTTTTTGACTTACATTGATGAATGCAATTAAAATTCACTTTGTGTAAAAAAGATCTGGCATTTCTCTGTGAGTAGGAATGCAAGTTAGATCAGTGATGTAGCATGAATATTAAAGAAAAGCTATTAGATGTACCATCTCATTAAATGTAACTATGTGTTGTAGTTCTTTTGGGGTTTGAATTATTAAAGGCATCTTCAGTAATTCATTAACAAGTTTCATTAAGTTCTAAAATGTTGATTAAAACTTTGGGATTTCTTTGAAAGAGTAAACAAGCAGTACTGAACTATACTGAACAAAGCAGTACTTAAATTTGGGAGTAGCTAGCTCTCAGATCTTGCATATCTTTTCCTTAGAAAACAAGACTTTCAGTGCAGTGTGCTTAATGCCAACTATTTGCATCTTGACTTAATGGCACACCTATAGCTAATAAGGAAACAACCAGATATGTTTAGAGCAGGATGACTTAATTTTTCAAGCTTGTCTTAGTTGTTATCGCAGTGTTTAACCAGATTCATACCTTCAATGACTCAGCATATTAGTGCTCACTAAAAAAAATCAGTAGCTATTAAGCAACCTGATGGAAGGTTCTCCGTCTTCTGGTGATTGATTCTCAGATTGTTATTTTTAAAGTGTTAATTGTGTCACACACTTCCACAGGCTGTCTGAACATGGACCATTATTTAAATAACTTTAAGCTATTGTTCCCCATATAATAAATAAGAATCTGAGGCAGAAGTTAACTGAAAAAAACCTCTTCTATGTTTGGAGGTTAAGAGCAGGTGATTACTTGTTACTCCCTGGTAGAGGAGCCACGGTTTACTTGCTTCTATCTCTATTACACTCCCACTTCTCTACAATTTCAGTTTCATTATTACTCTTTCTGCTTCAATAGTATGGAAGGGAAGCTGAATTAATACAAAAAATTGCCAACCTGATTGTAGATTTTTTTTTTTTAAATTGAAACAGGAAACTGGTAAGGTGGAAGTGTGAAGGCAGATGGCTAACTATTGCAACTGGTCTCTCCCTCTCGTACCAATTTTTGTTGAAATCTCAAAGAATCTGTTACTGTTTCTTAACTTTTGGTATTTCATCTGCCATGAAAGATGCTGTACATTTTGATACCTTGTTAGGGATCATGTTCTGCATCGAATTTTGAAATCTAA